GATACTTTGCGCTGCTCAGGGCAGTGAGTTCCCTGCCTAGTAAACATGCCTTGTCTCTGGGTATGCATTTGCGCAGTGCATCCAGGCAGGGGGCTTTAATGCTGTCATGTGAAGCGTGGCTGGGTGCGCAGCTGTGTTGCACAGATGAATGGCATTAAGGGAATCTTTCATCAACCTGTTTTAATGCAGATCAGTTCTTAACTCTTGGAACATGTATTTCCTTTTCTGCATCTTTGGTCGTTACAGGCCTGGAGTATTTTTAGCTCCTTTTATATTTAGAGTAGCCTAGTACCTATTTAAACGTGGCAGTAAATTTTTGAGTCTGCATTAGTTTTGTTTCTATTTTAGCATCGGTTATGCTTCAGTTACTGAGAAAATAGTCAAACAGAACCCCTGCATTTCAGTTTAACCTGGAGCTTGGGCATGTTCAGAGACTGACTCAAGTATTTAAACTTGTTACCTGCTGTTGGTAAAGATCCAGAAAGCATTGTAACTTAGAATTAATTTGAAAGTAACTTACAATGGTGATTGATGTTGAGATTTTCATGTAATCAGGAGCTACTTAATGGAAACCTCACAATGACTGTGTTTTTGACAAATGTTGAGAAACGTTTTTGCTTAGCAGAGGTTGAACCAGAATTTGAATCTGGTGCAGCAAGGTCACAGTCTCCTTAGTGCAGCATAATGTGCTGGCAGTGAGCTGCCAAGCTGACAGCTTGCTGTCTTACGCCTAGGATGGGAATACCATTGCTTTTCCTCTGCTAGGCAGGGTTTCCTTGTGAGCTCACCTGTACATGGCACCAAATAAGTGGGGAAGAGCAGCAGTGTGTCTCTGCTGAGGGCAAATGCTTCTGTTCACGGGGGAGAGGGGAAATGTTCCTGGTTTTTAACAGCAGAATCTTAATGTTTTAGCAAAAACTCTTTGTATCCCATTACTAGGCCTGTGTGTAGAGCACAGCTCAGCCTTAGCATGAGAGGAGTCTATGTGGCTGCAGACTCGTTCTGTGCTCTGGAGGGGTTTTTTTGCACCACGTGTAGAACTAGATGGTCACTGTCAGAATTATTTCCACACTTCGATTTGTAACACTCCTTTTAGACTCATTTGCCCAATTTCAATTGTTCATACCCCAATTTGCTCAGAAATAAACTTTGTCAAAGGTAAACCCATGATCTTTGCCCAAGAGGTGCTTCCAAGAGTTAAGAATTCTGCTTTGTGGATAGGTTTTTCTGCAGTGGCTGCTACTGAAAATAGCTGTAAATGGAGATGTAAAGTCAATGACGCATTGGTCCCTAAGCTGCAGTTCTACAGAAGGTTATTTGCTGTTTAAACCTGTAGCTTAATCTAAAAGCAGATGCTACTTCCAAGAAGTAAAAATGTATTTCCCCAAAAGGGGCCCAGGTTGATGCGGATGTGATGAATATTTTGTTATTATAGAACCCTGAAATTAAACACAGCATCTTAACTTTGGTATCATTTAAATACTTAATGTGGGAAGGGGAATGCTCCTCTCTTTCAAGCACTGGTTTTGTGATATACTGACTTGCTGTCTTTGGTTCCTGTGTTCAAGACATTAATATGTTTTCATCAGACTGTTTCACCACAGTGGAATATTCACTTACGTATCGGCCTGTGGTCTCTGATGGGTGTTTGTGGAGCATGAAAGATCCTGAGTCTCTCTGAAATTCGGGTATCTGATGGATGGTTCTTTTTCTGCTGTGGGTGCTACAGGTTGACATCTCTGTCTAAGATTAGCTTTGTCCTGAACTTAAAGTAACCCAAGTATCTCCATAGAAGAAAAATGGCCTTCATGTAGAAGATAATATCGCAAGATTGGAAACAGAATAATATGTTATAATAACTGGCAAAGACTTGAAGAGCAATGGTGCCAGTGTGCTGAGATCCTAGAACTTGTGCTTAAACAAGTTTGAAAATAGTATGGAAATTTTAAATTTTCACTATAATCCATAATGGATTGAAATTTGTTTTAAATATTTCCATTTTGTATCAGAATAAAGTGTATGCTGTCAAATGACTCACATCTAAAATGTGTTGACATCACCTTTTTTTAAGTGCTGTGCAGAACACAAAGTGGTCCTAACTTGCTGCAGCACACTGAGTTAGAGGATCAGCTTTTCAGCTTGGGACTGGTGGCTCAGCCCTACTCCTCAGCTTTGCTTTTAATGGTTGTTCTGATCAAGTGGTCTCCACAGGGAGAGCTGGTGTCAGCATTGGGATGCGTTAGACTTGGCGGTATCACAGTCACTCTCAGCTTTGGGAATATACTCTGTACCTCAGTAATAATAAAGTGAAGGATATAGTTTGCAATCCAATGTTTTTTTCATATACCCAATTTAACATGGAATATGTATTTCCTTGCTGATGTGGGTGTTCTGATGTGAATACAAGGTTCACTGTGCTGGTGATACAAAAAATACTGTTTTAAACTGAGTGTGAGTTACTTCAGACTGATTGTTTGCCTGGTGGAATTTGAACAAGGATTCTGCATTAACTGCAGGTATTTTGTCATTTCCCTTTTCATCCTGGTAATGGAGTAAGTATCCCAGTGTTAGGTTTTCACCATGTGGGTAGTACATGTACAGCAGCTCCTGCAAAGGCTGGTTCTAATGGTGCTGTTTGTCCTTTGCTTTTGCATTAGCACTAAAGGAACAAAGTGGAAAAGCAGGAGGTTACTGAGGTCTCTGTTTTATACCCAATTTGTAATTAAAGTATATTGCAGCTAGAGAGAACATCTTGGATGTCAGGTGTTTAATAGCCTGGTTAATAGTGGCGGGGGGGAGGTGCTAACCCAGGAGCTCCTCAGATTCTCTGTCCTTTACCAAATCAAATCGAGTCTCTAGGTTTTCAGCTGCTGGTATTGTCCATTAGCTCCCAACAGGAGGCATATCCTTGCATTCTGAGCATGTGCAGGGCTGTGCAGTGGGATGGACTGACAGGCAGGTAACAAGCAGGTAGTATAAACAAGGTAAGTGGCCTCACAGTGCAAGCGGGGGTCACCTGGATTTACATTTTGTAGTGTCTTTGGCACCACAAATGTTAGTACTTAATGTCAGGGCTGGAACACCTGATGGTGCCAAAGGCTTACTTCTGGTACTGGCATTTCACCACTACACTTGCCTGTTAAAGAAGAGATAGTCAATAGGATTGTGGTTCCTGGCATTAGGTTGCACTGCGGCAAGAATTCCCTTCCTGGTGAAGCTGTTGTTACTGCTCTGCTTTCCTCCCCTGCTTTACTCTGGTTAGCTAAGGTTGTGTTGCAGGTAAAGTGAAAGGCATGTCTGTACTCTGCTATTCAGAATTAATGAGTTAACAGGAAGATGAATGGCAAGTGACAAAGATTGGAAATGAAATTATTTGGGAGCAATAAAAAGTAATGAAATGGTTCCAATGATCCTACTGTGACCACCTGGACAATAAAACAGCAATTGAAATTCTGTGTATAGAGTGAAAACCAAACCTGGTACCCAAGAGTTGTAGGCTGCAAAGGAGTTGATGCTGTTCAGGTGAGAGGGGCCCAAGGAGTTGCATTGAAAACAACCACCAGCACACAGCAACTGAGAACAGGAGACCTTCCACAGCAGCCTGTGACAGTCACATCACAACTCCACTGTTCTGTATGTCACTCAGGACATCCCTAAAATGTAAGATAGTGTGGAACTGGGATTATGTTAATTAAAAGTGTTTCTTGGGCTTTCATGGCCAGCCATGAGATGAGATGGCTTCTGCTGTGTGCAGCTCCAGCACAGTTAAAAAGTTAAGAGGAATAAAAAGCCTGAATTCACCAGCAGCTTTATCATTTTGTTTAGCATTACCCTAACTTTGTGAATAATGAACTAATAATACAAGGCTGGGTTCCTGAGCTGATGTCCCTCTTTAAACCCTTTTTCCTTTTAACAGTGTGGGTCCTACTCTGCCATTTTCCTTCTTATGAGAAAGAAATACCAGAAGGTGTTGCAAAACAACTTGTTTATTATACTAAATGGAGTTACGCATAATATTGTTATAGACAAAAGATTTGGAAAATCATATAAAGCATCAGTGACAGAGAAAAAACTCAGATGAAATACACCTTCTGTGTCATAGGGAATATGTAAGAAGATGATGCGTTTTTTAATGTTCAGATCTACACATGGACTTCAAACAAATGATGCATTTCCTGTATTCAGAAAATCCCCAATGGTCAAGTATGAGTCAATGAGAAGAGCAAACAATGCAATGTCAGTGATCCTCCTGCTTGTTACTCTCTTAGAAATCATAATTTAAGCTCACGTCACTTTCCCGTTACCTTAGCACAGGTTGCAGGCAGCATGGTTGGTTGGCCACTGGTGCGCCGCCTTCTGTGTGCTCTGACACAATGTGAGTGACCAACTCTGACCCGAGTCAGGCCCCTTCAGAGCCACACAGTGCATATCCAGAACAGTTACTCAAGAGTGTATGGAATCTTAAGTTGGAAAAAACGCTTAATGCTGCCAGTGACCGAATTCACACGTTTTAAATGGCTTTGGAGGAAAGATCTCATCATGAATTCAGGTAGCGTTCAAAGGGCAAAACACAAATGACATAAACCTAGCATAACGCAAAACTCTGCTACACAATCCTTCCAAAGGGCAGTTAGAACTAAGCTGAACAAGGCATTAGTAATGCTGACAGTGCTGTGCAATATGTCTCTCTGGTTATTAAGTACATTTGTTACATGAAGACTTAAGCCTTGGAAAACTAGGGGGGAATTCCTTTCGTTAGGGAAATAAATGTGCATGAAGTAGAGTTAAAAAAAAAGGTTTAATGAACTGATAAAAATCAAACTTTAAGTATCAACTTTTATACTATATTAAAATCATATTAAATATTCAGCAAGTATAAATGTGCAAGAAAAATGGGAAACAAGCCCTATTGCATATTTATAAAAAAGGATCAGAAACCATGCTGTTTGTCTTACCAGAAATTATATTTAGAAGGCTAAAATCACTTTTATATATATATATATATATATCAAATCAATCTATGAATACAAGAGATAGGAACAGTATATAAATACGGTATCTTTAAATATTTACATGTATATGGAAACTAGTCAAAGTGGTGCTATAAGAAGGAAATGTCTGTTATAAAAGTGAGATTACAAATCTTGCATACCTCCATCTGCATTACGCTGTTAGTTTTAAACCTGCATCTTCCATGAACTACTCATTAACTTTTAAATCATCATTGCATAGAATTACTTGAAAAAATACTACCTAATTCTGCATTCCACCTCACAGTAAAAACTATCAGGAGGATGATATAAAAATAAGAGCTCTGAGAGCAGTAGCCAGCTGTGCTGCCCTTCAGAGTTTAGTCTCTGACTTCTTGCCCTTAGGAATAAGGAAGACATTGCCATCTCTGGTTTGCTGCAGAGAATATTCATTAGGAGAGTAAGACTTGCCATCTTCATCACGGAGCATGCTGAAGACCTCAAGGTATAAGGAGGTCAGCTGCTTTTTCATTTGACGAAGGCTCTTGTCGTGCTCTCCTTTCTCCTTAAGCAATTTCTCTTTCTCATCCTTCAGGTTATTCAAATCTTGCTCCAGTCCCACTATATTTTCCAGTTTTCTTTTACGGCAGTTCTGAGCAGCCACTTTGTTCTTGCCTCTCCTGCGTATATCTCGGATGAGCGCAAGCTGGGCTTCGTTGAACTGCTCCTTAGACATCATTTTATTGAAGTCATCAACAGGGAGATTGATGATTTTTTCAACAGGAAAAGGGATCTGCAGAGCCTTTGCTCTTTGCTCATCTCGTGTGAGATGAGCTTCGAGGCGGCTTGAAGATTTATCCTTTGTGAAGGGAGATTTGGGGTGGCCAGGGCTGGGAGGGGGTTCCTTCTTTTTTGTGCATGTACTCTGCAAACTTGGTGTTTCAGCACTTGGCCCCATGGAAGAGAACATTTGATCCTTGAACTGCAGTGAGTGCATGCTAGCATTGCTCTGCGGCATACTGCCAGGACGACTATCCATGTCTTCCATTTCAGAGTCACTATAGCCAAAAGTCTTATCTCTGTAGGCAGATGATTCCACAGAGTGGTCAGGCGATGCTATGCTAGAACCTGCATTCAGTGAAATACCCGAGTCAGAATCATTGCATTCTGGTCCAGTTCCTGAGAGGTTGCTGTTAAAAGCTTTACACAGTGAGAAATCAGAAAGATCAATAGGTTTACTTAGAATCTCTGCAAGTGATTGTCTGGCAGTGTTTGTCACTGCTGTGTCACCGTTCGCCTTTGTGTCGATAAAGGTGGTGTAGAAATCCTCACAGAAATCGGAGTTTGAGGGGGACATGTCATTTAAAGAGCTCACGCTCAGCTGGCTGGTGTCTTCTGGTGGTAAAATGCCAGAAAAGGGCCCCTCAATGCTATCCAGGAACTCTGGACCACAGTTAACATCCTTCCTCATGGTGGGTAATGAGCTGTAGTAATTGTAGTTGTGCATCTCTGTTGACTTGGTTTCAGGGCTTGTGATTGTGCTTACTTCAGCCAGGTTATCATTTTCAATGTTAAGACACTGCATGGGAAATGCAAAAGAGAAGTTGAGCAACACATCTCCAATCAATAAAGCCTTTTTCTATAACCCACAAACACTAAAGACTCTAGCAGTCAGTATGCACTTAACATGAGTCTTACAACGTTGCTACAACCTAGGTGACTACAACATACTTTTACTAAGGGGAGGACAACATACTTTTACTAAGGGGAGGCTTACTAGGAAGAAGATTAGATACCTAAGCAAGAGCATGAAGCAGTGCATTCTGGACAAAGCTAGTTAGATTCAGAGAGCAGAGCCTCTCAAACTCCTGGCAAGATGCTTAAGAGACCCATGTCAACACTGCATGGAACCTGCATAGAGCCCTCCTGCTCTGGTAAACTGTTACTGAAATAGACTTTATGAGCATTTCTAGCAAACAATCACTTTTAGCACTCTTTAATTCCATGCTATGCAATACATTTCCTTACAGAACAAGATTCTTTTAGGATGTACTGGAAGAGGCAGCTGCTCAGTGCAGAGAAACATAACTCTCAAGAGTAAAGAGAGCACTAACATGAAGCCTTGCAAACATTAACTCGCCACACACACTTTTAGTTAGGCTGGCTGACAACAGTGTGAGCACCCAAGACTTACAGCTTTCACTGGCTACAAGACCCATGATCTTTCCAAAGGGGTGGCAGTTTCTGCGCTAAAGCTGACATAAGAGGGTCCACTGTCCTGAAGAATTAGGCCATTACCAAACTTATTCTGTTTCTCTTAAGAAGGGACCACACACTTGTTATTTAACCAGAGATTGTCCAAGGCTTAAGCTAAGGTTTTGGAGCGAGAGCTCTTTTTTTTTCCCCTCTCTCTTCAAACATAATTTGTGAAAGTTGATGCCCTCAATTGAACTATCTCACTGCTTTCAGAACATTATTCCATCACTACTCAGAATTACTGAAAGAGAGTAAGTTTGGTTTGGTCTCTTGCTGCATTTTCAGCATTGCTGCTGCCCCTCCGCAGCCAATTGTCCTTGTTACTTATGTGGGGCTTTTAAACCTACCAGAGCAGTAAGACTGGGGAAGTAGGGACACTTTGAAAACTACAAGAAATTGAAAGGAAAATGTACAGGCCCAAAAAGCACTCGCTTCCAGCAAACATTTGTTTTTCAGTGTTTTCAGTTTACAGGCATTCTACTGAGCATTCATCTCTTGTGTTAACAGCATAAAGTAGAGCTGCATCATGCTGAAGCATGATGTTGTTGTGTGGTAACTTTATTCAATCTTATAGTCAAATCTAAGGAATATATAAATAGAAATACGAAGACAGGAGGAAAAAAAAACCAAACCCTGGATGTTCTCCATAACACATAGCTGAGGAATACAGCAAAGTGATTCCTTTGTTCCTTTGAAATATTTGGTTCATGTACGTTACATGGCTAGTTCTTCCTGAACACATATAAACAGTAGTAGTTCTTATCTTAACGAAACCTCCTCCTCAGATAAAAGTTGAATGCAACTATAAATGATTTACACAATCATACACTGAAAAAAAGAACAATATTTACAGTAACACTCATGGAAACAATTCCCGTTGCAGCCATAATTCGGAAGTGTCCATTTTTAAGCAGCTGAAATTTAAACCATGATCATGCTGCAATGAGCTGCACGCAGAGAAAGAAAGTGATTTGCTAAACATGGGGAAGTTCTGATTGGGAAGCCAGACCGCGTGTTATTAAGACCTTGGATAAACAACTGGTATTTTTCAATATACGTGTTTTTCAATATATTCTTAAAAAATAAAGCTTAAATTGAGTTTTAGACATCCTGCAGGTGTAGGATCCAATACACAGTGATTACAACTATCGCGTTAAGGTGCTATTGTACTGCCTTCTCCGAAATACAATACTCTTGCAAAATACCACACTATTTTTTTCAGGTGCTTATCATACCAAAACCTTTACCTGTAACTCTGTAAGGGACAATAATTCTTCCCAAACTTGGTCTATGTTCTGCATGTTCTCCACATCTGTAATTGGATCAAGAACAGGCGATTCAGGTGGCTGAGTTTCATCAGTAGAGATCAAGACTTGGTTGTGATCGATCTGAGCAGGAACCAGCGACTGAAATTCAGCTGAAGCAGCCTGGAATGTTTAGAACAAAAGAAAAAAAAATACAAATTAACCCCCCCCAAACAAAACAGTAACAAAAAGGAAACCCCCACATAAGAAACCCCACTTCGTATTATACATCAAACCGTCTGGGTCAGCACATGGTAATAGAGCAACCAAACACACTGACTCCCATGAGCTGCATGAAGCTCACTGTAACAAACTGACCACTGTCATTTGCAGTAACTGGCAGGGCTGTCATCAGCTGGTGTTAAACACCGAGTCCTGCCTGCAGGATTCAGTCAGTAGAAAGAACACAAGAACCACTCCACTCCCCTCCCACCAGACACAGCCCTAGTTCAAGCCCCCTACACTGCTCTATTCCAGCTGGAGTCAGCTTGAGAACAAAACCCAAATCATATCACAGATCAGGATTATGCTGCACACAAATCTTGGTGATAAACATGAGACCAAGCTCCTAGAAGACCACCCAGGAAACCGCTGCATTGAGCATTTTTACCTCATTGTCATCTATAAATGGGAATGCTTCTGCCAAGAGCTGCATGCAGTCATCAAAGGAGAAGGCCTCTGCTTCTGGTTTTGAACTCTGTGTGGTCTAAATAGGAAAGTTATGACAAATGTTAACTGCATCTTTGAATAACTGAAGAATCTTCCATTACAGCAACGAATGCAAATTCAGTTTAGGTAACCACTAACATTATGTCTTCCTGCGAATGGAAAAAGGTTTAAACATGCTTCACAAACACACATTAAGGAGTTTACCTGTGAAAAACCGACTGGAGGCTCAGTATTCTCTGGCTGAACGTGCTGAGCAGGAATAAATTCACCCGTTTCCTCGTCTAGCTCCAGCTGAGCCAGCAGGGCTTTCTCCTGCTCTTTTTGGAGCTGCTCCTGTCTTTCCTTTTCAAGTTTCTTCTGCTTCTCAAGTTCATACTCCTTCTGTCGTTGATTAAAGTCAAAAACTTCACGCCCTGCCCCAAGGTCTATATCTTGCCTCCAAAGGATGTCAATCAAGTTCATGTCCTGTAATAGAAATGCTTTTTTAAGCAAAGGTCTTCCCCAGCAAAACTAGTTTAAAACAACAGCAAAGCTTTTAATTTCTGCATCAAACAGGCAGACTGAGGCTTATTCTCTTCATCCTACAGAATGACCTAAATAAAATATGACTCTATATGACCTTTCTGAAGTGTGTGAACTGATGGTTCGGTTGCTGTAGCCCATACACAGGCTCACAGAAACCAGAAGTGTAAAGCAATGAATGAACCAGACAGAAGATAAATACATTCTTCTTTTCCTAAATTCACTCACAGAAAACATGAAGGAATGAATTCTACCACATGAAGAAAGCAACTTTTATGAGAAAAGAATTGTTTTCAGATGATCTTATAAAATTGTAAAAGCTGACTCAAACCACAACAGGCTCTGTCTGAAGTAACTGCTCATAGCACTGCTGCAATATGGGTTTTAAATTATGTATGTTCCATCTTGGTATTAAATACTAATCAAAGATCAGCAGGACAGAGGAAAACCTGGTTTCAAAGTCACCAACTGACATAACACTGCAGCACTAAACGCAGTTATTAAGACTATTACGATAAAATTGCAATTTAAAGCTTAGTCTAAGTTGATGTTTTAAGTGCAGCTGGTTTGGAGCAACTGAGTATAAACCAGGGGTCAACAGGTCTTAGATACTGTTCATCAGTTGGCCCCTGGCTCATCATCAGACAGCTAACAAAGACCTAGGTTTCTTGGCAACTGGCTACCCCTTGCACCTTCAGAAGACAAATTAAACTCTGCTATTTAGGGAAAAAAGACCAGTTAATGTTATTTGATTTAGCTACAACTTATTTTGATTTGTTTCATAAGGGTTTTTCTGGGGGGAGGGAAGAGGGAAGGTGATTAGAATCACAGAATCGTTAGGGTTGGAAAGGACCTTAAGATCATCAAGTTCCAACCCCCCTGCCATGGGCAGGGACACCCTATGCTAAATCATATCACCCAAGGCCTTGTCCAGCCTGGTCTTGAACACTGCCAGGGATGGAGCATTCACAACCTCCCCGGGCAACCTCTTCCAGTGCCTCACCACCCTAACAGGAAAGAATTTCCTTCTTATATCCAACCTAAACTTCCCCTGTTTAAGTTTTAACCCGTTACCCCTTGTCCTGTCACTACAGTAGATCTGTAGTCCTGTCACTATTAGTAGATTGTTCAGTAATTGACTGTATAAGGGCAGGGGGAAGTAGTTAGTGAACTGTTTTGAGTTTTCACTGTTCAAGTACTCCGTATTTAAGTGCTGAGGTTTACATTATTTTCTTCTGTAAAGAACCCCTAACACTCAAGCCCCACGAGTTTGGCTGTCAGCTGACACAGAATTTTCATACTTAGCAGCCACATTTGTCAGATGGGTAAATGCCAACAATTTTTGGCTGATGCCCGGCAGTTTTGACTTTATGGCATATTTCATTAGTCTTCAAATTGCCCTTTAGCGGCAGCACACACAAATAACGTCCAGTATTGGGCATTCATCAGGCTGGCACAATACAAATGATACACTTAACACTACCTTTCATTTACACAGAACTTTACTGCCTCCATTAGCAGTTCTATACCCAAGATACATTTATTTTGTCATCAAATTAAAATGTTCCCTTATTTCTGAAGTGTATTTTCAAGCAGAGAAGCAAAGTAACCTGAACGCTCAGTTCAAAGTGATCACTTACCTCCATGCAACAGTTACAGCAAAAAGCTTTAGGGCAAGTCCCCATTTGAACAAATCAATTCAGTATTCTCATTTCTTTGTTAAAACTTTTATACTATTAGCACCCATACTTATACATGGCATGAACTACTTCTACCAATTACTAAAAAACCCCTTATTTTTCTCTAAGATCAGGCAGTTACATAAAATATCTGTGTGTAACACAATGTAGGCATTCCCAAATCCAAGACAAATTTAACATATCTTGCTGGAGAGACCGAACTCAGCTTTAATAGCCAGCAATGAAGAAACTGAAATAACTACAGTGGCTGTCCAAGACAATGTTTGGTCTTTCCAGCTTGGCAGTGTAAAACGAACTAATTAAGTTCTGCAGTAATTGGAGCTCCTGCAATATGGCAGAGCTTCATTAGAGGCCAGTAGTTTACCAGCTGCTCACTGTCTCCTTCTGCAGCAGATTCGGAACAGTTTCCTAGTCTCAGAGCATTTGCAATATGCTCTGGATGAAACTGCAGGATCTGGATTTTAGGGCTCACTTCTGAATTATTCATTTACACGGCACCATTAAAAACACGGCTCCAAAGACATATTTTTTTTGTGTGTTTAACTCACAAGGCTGTGAATTAGCAGAGCTGTTTTCCTCCCCGAGTTGCAACATACAACAGCACAGAAATAGCAGAACTGGTGCTCAGTTTCAGTTTAAGCCACAAAAAACAAGTGATAAAAAAAAAAAAAAAGAGATACAGATGGAATGGTATCTTTTCCTTAAGAAGAAGAAACAAGTAGCCTTAGTGCCCAGGCACTGCTAGTAAATCTGCCATACTACTGGCTATATCCATCATCAAGGTAAGTAGCTTTGGGTGCTGCTTCATTTGTGGGAAGAGAGACCTCCAAAAACACTAGCTGGCCAAAAGCCCCCGTAGCCATGGCTATGCACCACCACCTCCGTGTGTGCAGCCATCACTTCAGCAAACAGGATTCATATTTGGATCAATATGCTTGCCTGGTTTTCAGGGGTTTTCAGGATCTTGGACTATTTCTTGCTGAGAAAAGTCATCACTGATTGGCTCCTGTCACCACTTTCCAAGGGACCATATTTCACCCGCTATCTTATCTCTGGCAAAGGGCTGAGCTCTGCTAAACAGTGCTGTGCTCTACACCCTGGAGAGATGCTTGCTGGGAGCACCTTTCTTTCATTTAGTTGTGCTGGTGGCACTTAAAACCAAAAGGGTGTTTGGGTTTTGGGGGTTGGTTTGTGATTGGTTTAGTTTTTTAATTATCATGATACAATTGTAAAAGAGCCCTCCTATTTTCAGTCAGAAAAGTTGTGCATAAATACAGCAGTAACAATTCAAGTAATTACTGTTCACGTGAATGGGTCGCATGGAGGAAGTGTTCTGTTCAACATGCTAGTATATGATATCAATCAAAGAGCACACTGATGTAAATATCAACCTGCCATGCACTTATCTCACGCACTTACTTACTACTTCAGCCAATGCTGTTAATAACCCTGTCCTTTTCTGGGCTTTAGTCCAAAGCCCAGGTCAAAGTTAACGGAGCCAACACTGCCCAGTGATTCACTAAGGAGTGAATCACAACCCCAGCATGAGGTGATGGCAAAGAAATACAAAATAAGATTGCAGTCTAAAGCAAGTATTTTGCAGTTTTGCTCCTCAGTCTCCCCACAGCTTTCCTCTTTATTTGTCTGCTTTGTTGAACCCCATCACACACATACACAGAGGTATCTACACAGGCAGGCACTCTATGTTTATCACTGCAGCATTTTTCCCCTTCCACTGTAAAAGCATCACAAAAATAACTGTGTATTTGACACTTGCAGTGTTCAACTAAGGCTATTACAAGCTGTTTTACCTCTTGCCTGTGCAATAGCTACCCTCCAATTTGTAGATGCCTCAACAGGATGTGCCTCTCGGATTTATTTGGAAGGACAAGTGAGCATGGATTGGTACCCGAACTGGTGCATGTGCACTGAGAGCCCTGTGAAAGACTCATCCAACTGAGGGCTCACTGCTGCCCTTTGGAGCCCCACTAACCACTTCCCTTAACATCAGATGTCTTTACTGTAAGGGCGCCAGCCTCATGTGACTGAGTCCACAAGCGCCCGTTTGTTCTTTCCTCTGTTGTGCAATGCCTTGGATTGCATCAGAGGAAATGATGGCTCTGGCAGCACAGGAAGAGCCTCCCGGGCAGGAGGAAGGACTGTGCCTGGAAAGGAATGCAGCCGCTATGCTTCCCCCTTGTCTAGAGCTCAGCTCTATCCCACTCAATACCAACGCCTATTTTGAGGGGAAATATGTTACAGTACTTAATGTATCACCATTTCCCAACACTTGCAGCTTCTGGGAAAGTAAATATGGTTTTAATATTCCTCCCAAGCAGAGAAGCAGTGATTTGGTTTTGTTTATAATGTTTTCTTCACGATTTTGTAAACAGAGAAAAAACTTCCCTCACAGAGGACGCACTCTGCATTCCTATGATGCATGTAAGCAGGAGGTGTCTTGTACTCACGGGTTGACTTTTTTGTTCATTTAGTGATATGCTCTTCCAACCACACTGATGGCTTAGTTTGGACATATAAAGGCACTTTTAATAAGATAAACACAAATGTTAAACAATTCACATTATGGCACCATCTGGCCCCCAATGGAAATTTTCATGTTTAGATTTACATATCAGCATTTGTCATCTGGGCAGAGTCTGTTATACATTTTATGAGAAAATCTCTGACTACATTGTAAAGTTTGACAATTAACTCTTATTGCTTCTAAACAAACATATTTGCAGTATAGTAAACAAAGGGAAGAGACTCTGGTTTTCAAGTTATTCTCATAGATGGACTTCTGGCCTTCAAACAAAATGCTCATCTTTCATTTCATCCCTGTTTGGGTTATCTGGCTGGTTTTGGTTTTGATTGGAAGACATTTGCAGGTAGCACCGGTAAACTGGAAACATCCAGCAACCCAAGTGTCAGCAGAGAAACAATCTGCTATCTCAGCCAGTGCTTTCAGCCCATTATTAGCTATCCTTAATACAGAGCACATCGTGGCCTTTGCACATTTACTTCATAAAACTCATGCCTTTCACAACATAAACTGGGATAATACTAGCAGAATCTCTTATCAGACTAGGATTTGGTTTTCCTTCCCATGATCCATTAGCACCTAACTCCAAGAAGATTCACATGCCAGCATGAATAAATCAGAGCAACAGAATCAATGCCTACTGCATCCAGCAGAGAGATCAGACCGGCACCCCACAAGAAGCGGAACACTCCCATAGCTTA